TTTTTGTTTGTTTCTTTAGGTCGCGTTAACTATGAGGTCATTAGCGACCATGTAATAATGGTTATCTGTTCCTGATGGCTAGAGTTAGAAGTGCAATCAAGAATAAATAAAAAATATTTACTATTTCGTATCATTTGCATAATTTTTTATTTGATTTCTCTGGACAATAAATTAAGCACTTCATTCTTAATTTAAAGGCCTATGCAATGTGAACCTTTCTTATCATTTTTTTGAATAGGTATTCAGTGATAATAGAATCACATTGACCTTGCATTTCTATTAATTTTTAAAAATTCATATTACTTTTTGCAGAAGTTTTACAATGCTATCAATAAAAGTGCCAAAGTTACCATATTTGTGGCAAAACTTCCTGCCAAAGCTTTTTTTTCCTGATACAGAATTTATTCAAAGTGATTGTTAATATTCTATTCATTATTTACATTTCTTCTCAATTCCATAAAATTGATTTAAGATGACTCTTGCTTTTTTGCATGGCTATTTCAGTGTCTAGATAAATGAATCCAATCTTCAAATCATCCTTCTGTGAGAGGTGAATTGCTGTTTGCAAACTCTTTCCATGGATAACAAAAAAAAAAACAACAATTTGTTGAAGGAGAATATGGAGTCAATCTCTAGATACTTGTTGGTAATTTGCCGCCCTGGTTCAATGCACCTCTTGAACCAGGCTCACGATGGCGCTGGCCCAGCAATATGAGTTTTTCTCTTGAAAAATCGCTATATTCAGGCACACGATTACAATACTTTCTCATCTAACGAAGTACGAAGAGAAAGTAAAAAAAAAAAGAAAAACATAACCAACCCCCATTCAACTGAAGTATCAGACTTTAATCAAGGCATTAGTGTACTAACATGTAACCTCAACTTTTATTATGAAAATGCATTAAGCAACATAGGAAGATATATTGAATGTGTAAATTGAAGTTTAACAGCTATAACCCTCATGTTATAATTATGAGACAACCAATATGATGCTTGAAATAAATAAATGTATATTTAGATTGGTAATGGTAACAACAGAAATGTGAGGATTAAAGTGGAGTAGGCATGTAGAATAAGAGACATTAAAAAAAATTATATATATACTTATTGCTTCCTTTACTAGGTACAAGCACCAGTTACACTGACAGTTGACTACTTCTATGTCTCAAATGCAATATGAATAAACAATATCATATGTGTAGTTTCATAATTATACAAATACTTTGGTCACAATACACAAATTGAGATAAATCACCCACATGCTTGTAATTTGCAAAAAATATAATTCTGTTGAAAATTAACAAGAATGCTTTTAACAATGTCTGAAATATGTCTTCATCATGTCAAATTTTTTCAACATACTAGGCTCTTTTCAATATTTTAAAATATTACTGCTCTGTAGTAAAAATTATGGTTGGAACAAGACCCCTCATTTCAGACCATTTGTAGATATTTTACGTAAATTGGTATTCTCTGATATTTTATGCATCTTGTATTTTTAACATTTATAGCATCCCAAGCATGCAAGTGGATTTTTAACTCCCACACAGAGTGCAAAACATAATCTTCAATACAGAATTAATAAGGAATAATCTAAAAATTACACAGAAACAACATACTAAACGTAAATGCTTCACTAAATAAAATATCACAATGAACTACATAGTTGCTTAATTCTCATGCTTTACAATAATATTGCCATGGTAAAGTCTCTCAAGACTACTCTACAACATCGTAGTTATAATATTTTTTTGGTAGTCTCCAACCCACAACCAATTCTCAACCCTTCTCACACAAAGAGGACAACTTTTTCAGGGTTGTGTAGTACACAATCATCCATTTTTATGTCATTTTAGCATTACTATTTGTTTGTACACAAGTGAAAGATCAAGTGAATTCCATGAAACATCATACTTTATTTGCATTAATACATTATAAAAGCACATAATGTAAGTGCAATGATCAACACAGTCCAACAGTTTGAGGATTAAAACTAGAAAGTTTCATGTATAGAAAATTTTATAAATTATGTGAAAATTAACAAAACCAAATAATTCAAAAATAAGGTAAAAGACCCACTAACAATTTATTATATTACGATTACCTAATTTGTGTTTTGTAAGGTTGGTAACAAAAATATTTCTCTCTGAAGGAAGGACATTTTGTAAATAGATACTTGTGACATTGAATCACTCTTGTAATGCTGTTTTGAGGAGAAATATTTAAGTTATATTTGTTGTGTTTATTGTGCTTTATCTTGAATGATGAGTACCGTGTCTAGCAAAGTAAACCAGGGTGAATGCAATTGCTTTCTTTTTTTTTTTTTTTTTGTTTCATTTAAGTTTAATTTTATATTAGTTTATTAAATATTTATTCATATTGTTACTGATCATTACTAGCTACCTTAATACCTTGTTTAGGTTAGAGGGGAGTCAGGCACTGGAAAGATTTATTCAATGTAATTAATTTTTTTGTTAAACTATTATAATAAAGCACATTGATGATCATAGTATTTTCCCCATGGTTGAAGAATAAAGTGAAACCTGCTCAAGCGGTCATTCGATAAAGTGGTTACTTCAATTAATGGCCATTTTTTTGTGAAACCATAAGACACAAGTAAAAATTCCATGTTTTGAGAGGCCACAATCCATAGATTGACCTCAATTAAGAAGTCACCTTTAGCGATTTTGAACTGTAAGAGAGTAAGAAACTGAAGAGCAAAGCAATGCATCTATGTGGCATAGTGGGCCGAAGGGGCTGCTGCAGGTCCACGAGTGTCAAAAGGCAATGATTAATACTGAGGGTGGTGAATTCCTATTGGCAATACTGAGGTTAAGCCCAATAATGATGACAAAGACGCGGAAAAATGATGGAAATATTGTTAATTCAATATCATCTTGTGGCGAGGCACATCAAATTACGTAATGTGACATCTAACCTTTTTTCTGCTAAGAATTTAATTTCCGTTTAAAGCAAAGAACGATTTTAATTAATGTCTAAATAATAATAACATTATCGATTTGCTTATACCAGAGCTTTCTCATTAAGTTCGCTCACCCTATTTTCCCCTCCATGGGATTTTGTTAATGATTGGAGGAGTACGCCACATGCGCGAAACTGATCTGATGGTCATTTACAAACTATTTTGTGGGACCGCCCACAGAAAGTGAATTACATTTTAAAGTCTAGATTGCTTGCAAATTCAGTTCAGTTGGGGACAGAAATTACATATTGAGTCCAAAGATATGTAACAGTAGCCTAGAGAAGGCAAGGCTAGAAAATAAGCTGACAATTTTTAAGTGTGGTGGGACACAAATTTAATAAAATTACAAAAAAAAAAAAAATGGAAACATTTTTATAAAGTTTTGAAATCTATGCAACTAAAAAGAGATGTAAACTCCTCTAGACAAACAACTCTGCCCTGCATTTTTGGTAAAAAGTTTGTAAAATCTATGCAAGAGCAGATTACTTAATCTTATAATTCAAGTGTAGGATGTTGTTTAGGTTGTATTTTGTGGTTTTAGGCAATTACAACGATTTTACTGAAAACAGACTTTATTTTACAGCAATGAGCATGATTAAACCTCGTCATGGTGTAAGAGATTCTGTTACACTATGGACCTGATCTTGCCGCAACCTCATAACCTTGATCAAGTGGTCACCTGTATTAACAGTTCAGTTTTGCTGGAACCATTAGTGACTGCATATCACAGGTTTCACTGTATTTAATTTCAATAGTTCATAGGGGGTCAGGCACAGTTATAGGTAATAATATGACATTCTTAGACATCTTATGTCAATATATTATTCTCTTTCCGTTTGTTTCAGGTACTGAAAACTATGAGAAAGTAAACTATGATGTTTAAAATCTTAACCCTAATAAAAGAAAATTATATGTTTTATAAAAGTTGCCAAAAATGGAATGGCAGGGGCTAGTACAAAGTTTCAGATTCCAAGGACCACCTTGATATATAAATTACCAGGGGAACACCCTGAAGAAAGAAGAATGGATCCTCTTCCATATTTTCCAGTGGAACATGAGATCATTAAAAAATAATAATAATAATAATAATAAAATATGGCAAAGTAAAAGAAGACACTTTCCAATTAGCAGCAATCAACATTTATAAAGTGTGAAAAATGTAGCACTCACATGAAACTGATCACCTCATTCATAAACAATAAACCCTGGGGAAAAAAGGTTGGAACTCTTCCTAAGTCATCCTAATTTAAAACAAAAAAATCCACAAAATCCAATTTCATCCAGATGTCTCTATAACTAAAGAGAAAGTCTTCAATTTATTAGGTGCATGCTTTGTTACATACACAACAAGGGGCAGATTAAGTAGTCTTGTCATAAAATTTTACACATGTAGCAAAGCGACAATTCGACTTAGAAATTTAAGTTATAAATACAATGCCATTCCACTCGTGGGTAAGTGTAGTCATTCGACATGTTTTCGCGGAAGTGAGCAATCCTGTTTCATAGTTTTTGCACCCAGATTGGTCCTATGAGTGCAAGCAGAGATCATGTTGATGTTGGCGATCAACCAGATCGCGTTCCGATTAAAACCAAATCTGTGCTAGAATTCCCAAACATTTTAAGAAATAATTTGGAGCTAATAGTTTGAGAAACGTTTGGAAATGTTAAGGCTTCTGGTAAAGACAAAATATCCGTTTCAAATTCGCAGGGTTAGCAGTTCGGCCAGATCAATCGCGGAACCGATTAGAGTTTACTACAGAGTCGCTTAGTAGTCGGAGTCTTTTTAACGACTGGCCGAGAAGTCCTTGGTTCAAGTTCCGGCGGTAGCAGATTTTTGACATTAGCTACATAGCTGGGTCGAATTCAGCCCCTATATGAGTTCAAATCCTGCTCTGATCAGTATTTTCTTCGTGATTTCTTCGATCAAGACTAGACGAATGCCGAAGCGGTATCATAACAAACAGGCGACAGACGGCGCGCGATCTTTCCTTCCTCTTCCTTGTTCTATCATCATCTCTCATTCACAAACACTTTACACGCACTACTCTACCATGCACGTGGGGAATTTAGAGCTAGTCCTGGCTGAGGCAGTGCCCGTTGGGGGAGATACTCGATGGGAAATACCGCGCAAGCCAATGTGTGGGCAGGCACCGGTCGCCATCTTGAAGGGAGAAACACCGACATCTCCACGCCAGAAAAAACATTTACTACACTAACAGGACTAATGACCTTAGCAGTTGACGTGCCTGGAAGTATCAATCGATCGATACGAGAATATCAATTTTGGAGGAAATCATCTCAACGATTTAGACGCAAGAGTTGATCGCAGGCGGACAGACACAAAGGTTTTCTCTCATGGGTTTACCGTTGGCCAATTTTTTGGTGTCAAGGTGCCACAAAATGTGGATGTTGGGTACTAAACTTGGTACAAGAAGTAATTTACTACACATAAGAACATAAACACTTTTTGGATACTAGGGCCCCTCAGAATACGAGTTTTTCTGACAAAAAATCGCCGCTTTCCGTCGCAACATTACAATGCTTTCTTTTTACGACATTCAGTACGTAGTATGACGAGAAAGTAAAACGACTAACGGGAAAAAAAGCAGCGTGAAGAAAATAAGGCTATCAAGAAACTCAAAAAAGGAGAAAGAATTGTGTAAAGAAATAAAAATTGAAATAAACGGCCAATAACAAAACCAGAAAGAAAAGCGGTATTTTACTTGATGAAACTGAAGTGATAATGAAGGGTTATATTAATCACTAGAGATTAAACTTCGATTTTTGTAAAGTGGCCGATGACATTAAGATATTGTTACACACCTTATAAAAAGAACATTTTTAATTAATTCGTGAACGTCCTTCTCAATAGATCTTATGGCCTCAGAAATTTGCTTACCACTGTTAAAGAGATTCATTTTATAAGGCAGGAGGTTTAACAACTCAATGTCATTGGCCCCTTTAGAAAAAAATTAAAGTATTAAAGAGAAGATGTAGATGATGCATGGCACCAACCCTAGAAACATCGAGCATAACAGCACTTATTAAGCAAAAGAAAATAACAAAGAAAATAGTACATAATGATGATTAGTATGGTATGAATGTATTGTTATAACTAGATGTGGCCTCCGCAAGACTATTATGTTGGTTTGTTAAAGTTGAAAAAATTGTTTCAATTCCGATTATTAAAATCAAGGACAAAGAAATGTGCCCAGTTAGAAAAATTAAAAAACAAGATGTTTTAAGAATTAACTACTTGTTCCAATTATACTTCTTTGACAGTAGCATGCAATGCCATTCTGGGACCCAGAAAACACAAAGTGTTCATGCACCCCAGAAAACCAAGTGAGGGATGTCAACGGCAGACCCCAGAACAAATCGAAAAATAATTGAAGGAAAATATTATACAGGGTGAGTCACGAAACTTTAGCACCTTCTTTAACTTCAGAACTGTTGAAGTTATTGCAATGAATTCCCTCATGCACTTCTGTGAATGTGTTGCAATAACTTCAACCGTCCGCAAGTTATAGGAGGAGCTAAAGTTACGTGACTCACCTGTATATTTAAGAACTAACGCTACATATATTTGCAATATATATCACAATCATTTTCTGAAAGTTTGAAAATATTTTCAGTTTTTGAGCTCTGGCAAGGACATCATTATTTATCACTTAGTGTTAAGAAAGATTCTAATAATAAAAGTTCTACATAATGAAAAAAATTACTGCTTACCCAGTGGTGAAGGTGGAGGGGAGGTGGGACTGCCCCCATTGACACCATTTTAGGGGTGACACCAATTAAGAAGTTTTATAGTTGTAATTAAATAATTATATACTTAAAAATTATATTTCAATTATTCTGAATTAGTATAGTTTTTCAATGTATTATAAATAAATGTCATGTACAAATACACTTGCATTTTTATTAAATAATGTTTAATTTATTCAGTAATAGATATTTTTTCATTTAATGTATGGGCAGGGTGGGGTGGGGGTGATACCATTGGTTTTGCCCTGGGCGACACCAACTGAAGCTACGCCACTGTGCTTACCTAAACAAAATAAAGGAAAAAAACTTTGCTACGGTCCGTCATTGACACTCCCCTTTCTTCTTCAGTTTGCGGCTTAATTTTTTTATTATAACTGTCAACTACTGGTACCCAATGTATCAGGTACAGGTAAAAGGTAAACTAATACCTCAATGTCTTTGGTATTAGAACATGAGGAATGGAAAATATAATTATAATTTTCTGAATTTAATTACAAATAATTTGTTTTTTACCCATGTTCCCGTACAACCAATTTTTTCACCCTTGAAATAAAGGAATAGTTACAAAAAAATGTCTAAAAATAAAGTGTAATGGATTCACTACAGTATCTTTTATTTTATATAAATGGGGCACAGTTTCTTGTGACTCAATCACATGTGCCCTCTACTGTGTAACCGCACTGGCCAAGTAAATCGTCAGAGCACTGACAAAGAAATCACAGCAGCAGATCTACATTTACAGAGCCCCATGGACAAGCACAATAATTAGAAAGAAGTTTTACATAACTTTTTCTGAGTGTTAGGATAAATAAATCTCATGTTAAATTAAAGACTTATTTATATCACATTATTTCTAGACGAAAGAAACAGAAAATCGACATTCTATTAAAAATTGACAATGATTGTCAAAAATAGTTCTCAAAGAAAAATGTAGACAGCAAGTTTTCCATAAAATGACAATAAGGTGGCTTGCAATAAGAGAGATGCACAGTAGTCATATTAAAACCATAAATCAAACTTAAATTTCATACCTCAGAGAATTCATCTTCTATGATTTGCACACTTTTGAAATTTTACGTAAAAGGTAGGAAAAACCCTAAATTTTTTCAAACAGTGGAAACCAAACTTGACATTTACTTCTCTCATATGAAGATAAAAGGCTTATGTACAAAAATGTCCAAACTTTTAAATGTTAAATTGAAAATCTAGTGAACTGCTTCAGTTGTTTTGCAAAACTTTGACAATACAGTTAATTGTTCAGGACGAAATTTTGAAAGAATCAATAAATTAACAACCATAATATAAGTATTATAAAACTTGCAATGCTGATGTAAACATAACAAATTATTAAATTTTAAACAAGAACTTAAATAGCGTAATTAAAAATGAAGGCAAATTTTCCATTAGCAACTACACCTTTCTGAAGCTGCTTTAAAATACACATCCCTCTATAAGAAATTATGTAAAAGCTGCAAAATGAGCAGACATTGATAACACACATGCAAGACATTGCCCACATTTCAAAGCACACAACCACAATGAAAACAGGGCTTTAATTTATTGAACTTTTGAATATTCGTCACTGGAAGACGGAAGTATAGTTTATATACCGTAGCTAACAAAAGCATCACAACTCATTTATCATTTTGAAATTTTTTCCTTACTTTCATAGGAACAAGATAGGTATATTGTTTTACATTTTATGAGAATCCATAAATATCTCTTTTCTATCATGAATGACCTTGACCATTCTACAAGCATTCAATTTCAAACAACAACGCAGACATTCTGATAATGGAATGACTTGATTGATATTCACTGTTTAGCAAGTCTACATTCTCCCAGTCTCATGTCTTTCCTCTGCTCTCTGACAAATACTACATACATTAACATGAAATATGATGTACACGAAAAAAAAAAAAAAAAAAAAAAAAAAAGGATAACCCACTTTTTGGTGAAAATTAAGGTTTCTACACAGTTACTAATAAACAATACAATAATTATGATAAACCAAATGACTTACAAATCAGTCCTTCGCTCTTAGGAAAAGAATATGTATTGGTTACTCTCTCAACAGAAATTAGCTAAGTTATCAGCTCCCCACTTTATATAATTTAAATTACACACTTTCATCATATGGTTTTCTTATATTACATTTTCTTATCTTCATCACAACACTCAGGCATGTATTTATCTACAATGATAGCACTTTGTATATTTACAATTCTCCCAAAGAGATTGTCACATTTCGGTTCCAATTCTCAACACAGATTGAATGCTAAGACAGAATTGAACCATCTTGCTCTTCAAAAAATTCCATGATTGATTTTCAAACTGCATTACATCAGTGGATTAAGCATCCAACCCCAAAAGGGAATAAAGTGTCTTATATTTGAGGAAATAAATAGTTACATTAAGAATACAGTGAAACTAAAATTTCATTAAAAATGAACGATGTCCCAACAATTAAATGTTTTAAATCATAATTGCAAGTTATACCAAGCCTGGTTAAAATTTGCAATTAAATGAAAATTATGACATATTCTTTCATTATTCATCACAAGAGATATAATTTGTACTAGATAACATGAAGAGTTCATCAAATAATGGCATACAGCAATGTATATGATTATTCAAAACAATTAAGAAGCCAGATCTTCGAGATTGAAACACAATGTTTCTATCCTTAAAAAGCACAGTCTAATATTTCAATAACAATCTAAAATAAAAATTATGATTTTGCAATCAAGGAATAATGGCCCTTTCTAAACAAACCATAATTCCTACATCACAAAGTTTATCTTAGGGCTGATTATACAAATCAGCATGAAATCTTTTTACCTCAAATATAATTAGATACTAAATGAAACAATTGATATCCTTTGGTTGATATTAATGAGAAACAGTTTTACACTAATATTTATTATGTAAGTTCATCACAATTTCCAGAAGTTTTTAACAACATATCTTGCTGTAATATTTAATAATTCGACTGTTTATGACTAGATTTTGCCTGTCCAGAACATACATATAAAAGACAAACAAACCTTACTACTTTTAAAGAAGAGACCTTAATCAATGAAGATATTTATCCAATATTATAATTATGTAGTAAAATTTGACAATTGTTTATTTAAGAGACCAAGAATGTACAGTATGTATCGAAAATTCTCATGAAATACAGGGCACACCATACAAATCTCTACTGTTGTGGAAAGTTACAGCAAGTGGCATTGTAATATACAGAGACTGATGGATTTTGAAAGATCAAGCCCTTTGCCCAAACAAAAATCGTTATTGTAAAAATAGAATCCAAATTCAAATTGAAAATCTGCAAAAATCTGGTCAAATCTACAAATAACTTAGTTTATGATAGATTTTATATTTGTTAATCACATTATCTTTCCATACGAATACTGGTTTCCAGGAACTCTTAATAAAAAAAATATACTTTTCGATTATATAGTATCCAGAATCCTATGCCCAAATAATGATCACTCATGTATATTATTACCTTGACCCACTCATCCTCCTACAGTAAAAACCAGACTACTACTTTTGTCATATCACACATTTATATTACAGATGACCTTCACACATTATTTGTATCACTTTTACAGATGCATCTCAACAGAAAGTTTATGGACACAAGTTCACTTCTGATCCTTAAAGGCAAAATAAAACCAACATGAAGTATAACCACATGTACAGGACATCATAACAATACTTGGTAATTTAAAGCTTGAGCATATCTCCCACAATTGAATCATGCTTTTGATCCTCTTGGCTACTGCAAATAACCAGAAAGCGAAAAATGTCATGAAGACTAAGAGAAGAGTGCTTCATTATGAGTAAGGTAATTAAGAATATTTCAGGTACACTTGGTAATGAGTTACACATCTTATTGAACTTAATATTTCACCACACATTAGTAAGATTTCAAATTAATTGTTTTGTTATAAATAGACTATATATGGTTCAGAAGAATGTTACTAAAAGAGTAAAATTATTATTATTATAACTGATGAAGACTGTTCAGTCAATACTACTTTTTCTTCTTACATAAAATTTTGTTTGATTAAGCAAAGAGAAAAATAAAGAATTTGAATACACATCAAGCAAACTCATATACAAACAAATCATACCATTTTTACTAGGATCAATATTAATGTCTGCTATCTGATGCTGCCTGTTCCTGCAAAATTAGTTTGTCATGTGAATCACTGGCGTACAAACGAGTCCAGTCTCTAGCATTTGCTATTGCTTGGGCCTCATTAATTTTCCACAATTCAGCAACATCATTTGCTAGAGGATCATCAGGATTGGGAGCGCTCAGTAGAGCTTGAATTGAAAGTAACACTGTACGAATTTGTAATGCTGGACTCCACTTATCTGGAAGGACAGAATTTCTGAGGTTAGTATTAAGTACATTCACCATGGGTAATGCATTTTGGTTACTACAATTCTTACAATACTCTACAACCATATTCAACCATATTTGTTAATTCACAAAAAATTGCGTAAAAGGCCTTTCTGTAAAAACAAATGTAAAAATTGACATTTTTAATGGCAGAAATAACTAGTGTAAGAAGCTACATAACAAGATACATAAAAATTAAATATTTCATAACACACATTTAATGAGAACATTTTTCTCAAACTTGATTGACCTTCGCAATTTCTCTTTGTGTCTGATTTAATGAGTAACACTTTTCTTTTCATTTTCAAGATAAATTTCACATACATATAACTTGAGATCTTAAGTTTTAACTTGTCTGCTTTGTTGGCTTTTGTTCTTTAGTATTCACTGATCAAATATTAGCATGGTTATTACTAGGTACTACCAGCATGGTTAATGCTAGCTTCTTTAAACATTCAGGGAGAAAAATAGTTTTGTTTTCAGGTTTTAGATACCTATGCTTTCGGAAAAACGCTTCCTTATGGTGTCTCCTGGAAAACGCTAAAGTTTCACTAAGCTAGTGTAGCATTGCTTCCATTTACTTTTGCTACTCTTCTATTATTGTTTCTATTAGGTCTCTCTTGGTCTCTTGTAAGTTTGACTCTGGATCTATTAGGTTAGAAGGGCTAGGATGTCATTCATTTCTATCTCCCCTTTTCTTTATTTCATTCTTCTCTTCTTTTTCTTGTCTCTCACCTTTATTTTTTCCTTTGCTTGCATTGTTGGGCATTGACAAGGATGAGAATAAGTTTTTCGCCTCATAGGGGAACAAAATTCTCAAAAATAAATCACACTGATCAGAGGCTATTGAGATAGCAGTCCAATTACTGGTCAAATATACATATGGGTCATTAGTCCTATCAGGTAAATCACAAACTAAATTCCTCCAGAACCATAGTGGGACTCTTCACACAGCTACAAAGTGCAAGAATATGGATTAGCGTAACAATTACAATAGTGCGAGTGGAATGTATGACCTGTTAACAATAAAGAAGAAGAAGAATTGGAAAACTTGTTAGAGAAAAGAATATGGATATATTACTGGTTGCAGAAACTATAAGGAACAATGAAAATATATGATTATAAATTGATCTATAGTGGAGTCTCAAAAGTAAACAAGTAACATCAGCAGAAGCTATAATTTTAAATAAGATATCGCTCAAAAGAATACAGTCATATTGCTGGGTCACTAATCGAACTGTAACTGAGTGATATAAGGTAGATAAAGGATTAATTTCATTCATTCGTGTCTGGCCACCAGTAGCATGAAAATCATAAGAAATCCAAGAACTTTTATTATCTACTTCAGGAAACTGTATATGAAATTAATAATGGAGACTACTCAATAGAATGTAGGGACCTGAACTTTGACTTCACATACTTTGTTTTCAAGAAAATCTGTTCAAATCTATAACTTGTACCAAATACTGAACAGAAACTTCTGGAAAAGTTCTTAATTTTTGCATAAAGGTTCATTGGGAAATGTTTGTACAATTCAGTAATTTTTCTTTCTTGGAATTTGTCCTGCATTGCATCATCAGTTTTTAGGTCAATAATTTCCATTTGAATAGCTACAGGAACTTGCTCAGTATCTCATGAAATCAAGTTTTGAAAAACTCTTATGTCAATGAAGTTGGTGAATTTATTTTTGAACTGCATTTTCAGTTCTGGAAGGATTTACAAACAAAATGGACATGGAAAACAGAAACTATTTTCAGCACTTACTAACTTACTATGGTAGTAAAAAAATGATTTTGTAGCAATCTCTTTGTCTAGAACTAATAATTTCTGCCTAAATGCCTTGATATGAGTGTATAGGTCACATATGAGGTTATTTTGTCCTTGAATTTTTTATTAATTTCACTTGCTCAGCTTCGCCAACATAAACATTGAAGTCAAAATCAGGGAGGAGAATAAAAAAAATATTCTACCGATGGTAAAGACTTGCGGGTATTTGAATATTCTGTATGTAAAATTGGTAATGGTACAATACTTGCGACAAGGCTGGTATACAGGGTCCGCGGTCAAAATCCGGACAAAATTAGATTTGATACTCCGCCTTATGTATGCACCTAAAGATGTGCGCGATTGTTTACATGAATATCGATACCCATCTACAAGAGCAGCACATACCTCAAAACGAGTAGCAATAGTTGAGACAAAGCGAAGAAATACCATCGAAGAGCGCAGGATAATTGAAAGGTATCGCGTGGTCGCTCAAGCGACCGGAGATATTATCAGCTTTACTTCGATTATCCAGGATCGCACAGTTGAAGATGATATGATCGTAGCGCAATTATACAAGGAGTCGGGAAATCAGAGGAAGGTCTCCTAACACCCCGCAGAGAAAAGTGCACCCGAGGAGCGCGTAGTCAGGACGCCAGGAAGTCATTGTCAACGCGTTCAAGAACTGATTTTGAGATCCAGGACCATCGATTCGAAAAATTGGTCGCTTGATCGGAATAAGTGAGAGACAACTATGCGTCAGATGTCCAGGAAGAGCTCCGTTACAAGTCCACACCATCAAAGTATCGACAGAAATGCTTTCTGAAGCCCGCCAGGACGCAAGAGAAGTTGAACGAGTGCAATCTTCTTTTACTGGCTCACTTACGGAACCAAGGCGAGTGGACGAATCAGATTTTTTCCGACGAGAAAAATTTATACGGATAGACGCAAAAATTAATCGAAGAAATGAGCCGCTGGACTTGCCCGCACCTCTGAGGATGTCCCTGTGTAATTCAGAGAACCAAAATTTCCGCAAGTAGCACGGTGCTAGGGAGTTGTTTCTCACGAAGGCTGCATGTTATGCCACCTATTTCTAATCCAACAAAAGGAGCGAAAAATGTGACCAAGGAGGTTTATAAAAAAGATAACAGATGAGTCTTATCTAACGATTATGTTGAAGCGTGGGGTTGGACAAAGTAGCATTGGAGAGGCCATATGTGTTCCAGCAAGACAGGTGCGCCCGCCCATACGGTCATTTGTGCAGAATTAGGTTATCGGACAATATCGACATGTTTTGGATCGAAGAGATTATGGCCTCCACACAGACCCAGATGTTAAAATCCGTTGGATTATTATGTTATGGAGCGTGGTGAGAGAGTGGACAAACAAGTCGAGACAACCCGAACGATAGCCATCTCTCCGAGTCGCTATTGAAGCAGCATTCGCCGAAATGGAACGTAATGGACCTTGCACCGTGCCTGCGAACGTCAGGACCCAGATTGGAGCGGTCGCTTCAAGCAAGTGGGGGGGATATGTAGAATATAAATTATTCCATGATGCATCCTATACATTACGGGTAAAAACAATTCTTGTTTGAATTTTCATGTTTACAACAAAAAAATATAGTGTAAAGAAAAATGTTCAATTTGTCCGGATTTTGGCCGTGCACCCTGTATAACGCAAAAAACCTGTAACAAGAGGAAATCACATCCTTATAATCTTGCAATAGAATGTTACAGCCTATGTCACAATTAAATTAAATTAGAATATACTTTGACTCTTGGGGGCTGGATGTGGCTTGCTGGCCATAGTTTGTAGATCCCTGTGCTAAACTGTAATGGGAAAATCATTTCTGATTTTGACTACATCAATAACTTGAAAGTTTTGAATACCTCCTTTCCACACAAATGTATACGTTCACATGGTTAGGACAGACAGAGAAGTAAGATCAATTACCTCTTAGCAAATGAAACTAATGGTGCTACAATATGAAAATTTTCTTGCATTATTTCTAACTTTCAAATTTTGGAAAATTCAAAGAGTTCAATAAAACTGAGACATGTACCATTCTTTTAATTCTTTTTTTAATGACATGGAAAAAATTTAAAGAAAAAAATGACCAGATTATGAGGATTTATTTTTAATAAGTTGCATCAACATCGAGAAGAAATAATGCAAAAACTACTTGTTTCTTCAAAAATTACACCTTTGTAGTGGAAGCAATAACACGAAAAAATTAATCTTTCACAATTTTTGAAAGATCACAGATTTCAACAAAAATGAGACCTGCACCATTCTCTTAAGCACCCTTAGCACCCTTTAAGCTATCCGAGAACAAAGTTTCATCAAAAAATTTGGAGGCATTTCTGAGAAAATTTTGCAAATGTTTTTGAGGGTTCATGTAAAGAACTTTCAAAAATTAACATATCCGTATGAAACTCCCAAAGCCTCGAGTTTGTTCAGATCGATCGGGGATAATCAACTTTGGAAAAAATCGGCTGAACGGTTTATGTCCTAGCCTTGATCACAGACGGGCGGAGAGACACGTTTTGCCGTCAATCGACTTTTCGATATCAAGGACCCACAAAGCACGGGGTCTGACTACACGACGTGTTAAAGGAAATAACTTACTCTATTTAGGAACATGATTTCCCACTATTTTTTTTACCAGGGCCTGACACATAGTTTTACTGTGGAAAATTCGCTGTTTACCGGTGCACGATTACAATACTTTCTCTTCCTACGATGATTTTAGTGTAAGTTAGTAATGCCAAAGTGCAATTAAGATAACTTTAGGTCTAGATTGTAAGTTAGTTGTGAGAAAAATCCCCGCCTGTAGCTGCTTAAGCCGCAAGGCAGCAGCGTATTATAAAAAATATTCATAGAAAATAAATTCCCCTTCCTCACAGGGATACTGTGGAGGGGACAAAAGAAAAAAGATCTTCCTACGATGCAGAGGCGAGATTCAAGGGGGGGGGGGCAACGCCCCTCTCTAATGTTGGGGACAATTTAAAAATATATTAGACACTTTATTTCGCGGATCTTCAAATTTGTATTAGAAAAGACTTACTTTTTTTTCTGAATTTTGAGAGAAAAAAATCCTACACTGTATTTGAGTAAATGTGAGTGTGCGTGAGTGCGTGTGTGCGGATCCATCAGTCACGGGTAGATCTCTTCCCGTGCGCCAATCGAAACGTATGAGGTGTCA